GGTGGGATTGCTCATGATTTTAATAACCTGCTGCAGGGCGTGATTGGTAACGCGGAACTGGTTGAGCTGAACCTGCAGGGAGATGTGGCCCACGCAAAGCACCTGCTGACAAATCTTATTGGCGGGGCGCAGCGGGCAGCAGGTTTGTCACAGAAACTGCTGGCTTATTCCGGCCGTGCACAGATTAAGGTGGAAGCCGTTGATCTCAATGAACTTATTGAAGATGTTCTGGCATTTATGCAGATTGATCTTGCACCCAGTGTGCCTATTGTTGTGGCTTTATCAAAGCGACCGATCCGGGTAGCCGTAGATCCTGTGCAGGTGAACGAAATTGTATTCAATCTGCTTACCAATGCTTATGAAGCAGCGCACGAACAACAGGCATCAATCTGGTTGCGCAGCGGACAGGTAGAGTTGGATCGGGCCGCCATCGACGCCTGTCAGATTGCGACAACCGCTATGCCCGGGCATTACTGTTATCTGAGTGTTGCCGATAGCGGTCCCGGGTTAACGCCAGAAACGCTGGCGCGCATCTTTGAACCTTTCTATTCCACCAAGGAGTTAGGTAGAGGTTTAGGGTTGGCGGCCGTGTCAGGCATTGTTGCCAGTCACGGTGGTGCGTTGCGTGTTTTCAGCCCCGCTGAGATGGATGGTCAGGTGCATAGCGAAGTGGGGGCGGAATTTGTAGTGTATTTCAAAGCCCTTGATGCAGCATAACTATTTTGTTGTTTGACACCGAAAATCGGCTGTACTTTGGCTATTATCTGATTTGCGCGGCGTTCATCGCGCAGTTCATTTCAATTGGCATGTACAGCTATGTGCTGGGTCCTTTCATGATCCCGATGACCGAAGATCTCGGTTGGAGTCGAGCCGATTTCACGTTGACCCGAACCATAGGTCAGCTGGTGATGGCTACCGTCGGTGTTTTTGTTGGTGCTCGTGTCGATAAAATAGGCGGCAAGCCGATCATGCTGGTGGGGACAACCATCTTAACGGCGGGTCTTGTCAGTCATAGTTACATTGAGCAGTTGTGGGTCTGGTGGCTTCTGAACGGTGTGATTCTCACGGTGGGTTGCGCCATGGTGGGCAACCTGGTCGTCAATGTGACACTTTCCAAATGGTTTGTGGTGAACCGTGGTAAAGCGATTGCATTTGCTGCTATGGGGGTGTCTTTTGGTGGTGTGGTTTTAACACCGCTTGCAACCTGGCTTATCGATACTATCGGCTGGCGTGACGCCTGGGTGTGGTTAGGGGCCATGGCAGCGCTGTTTCTTTACCCGGTTGCGTTGTTCATGCGACGTGCGCCTGAAGACCATGGTCTACACCCTGATGGGCTAAGTGATGCACAGGTCGCCGCGGGCGCCAGCCAGCGGGCGTTGGATGAAGAAGCGCGTGCTTACACTCGACATCAGGCGTTGCGTACTTTTTCTTTTTACGCCCTGGTCATTGCATTCGGCTTTTTCTCCATCAATATTGTTGTATTGCTGCTGCAAACGGTTCCCTATCTGACGGACAGTGGTTTCAGTCGCAACGATGCGGCCCTGGCGATGTTGATAGCATCGGTGCCAGCTATGCTGTCCAAACCTGTCTGGGGTTATCTGATTGATCTCAGTCCCGTTAAACCGTTGGCGGCTATTTCCGCGTCAGTAACCGGTATAGCGCTGTTTCTAATTGTGTTTGCGGTGGGCAGCCATCAGCTGTTCTGGGTCTATGCAGCTTACGTGGTTCTGGGTCTGGGCTGGGGAGGCATGATCCCCATGCAGGAAGTCATCTGGGCGTCGTTTTTTGGTCGTCAACATATCGGTGCCATCAGAGGGGCAGGCATGCCTTTTGCGCTTGTACTTGGTGCTGCCGCCCCATGGCTCGTATCCTATTATTATGATCTTATTGGCAGCTACGATGGTGCGCTGCTGGTGGTGGCTGGACTGAACGTATTTTCCGGGGTGCTGATATTTATGGTGCCGCCGCCGACTAAAATGGGTGTCAGAAAAAACTGATCAGATGCTTGATCGCAGGTGAGGGGATAAAAAATGGAGTATCAGAATATTGTAGTGGCACCGACGCCAGGTGTTGGCGCGTTTATCAGTGGTGTTGATCTGTCTGAGTTCGATGACGCCAGCTTGATTGAGCTGAAAAAAGCATTTGCGGAATACGGTGTGCTGTTCTTTCGCGATCAGCAGCTTGATGAAAGCAAACACATTGCCTTAGCCAGGCGTTGGGGTGAGATCAACATCAACAGGTTTTTCACCCCGGTTCCCGGTTACCCAGAAATAGCGCAGGTACTTAAAGAACCTGAACAGACCGCTAATATAGGTGGTGGCTGGCACACTGACCACTCTTACGATCAGGAGCCAGCGCTGGGTTCTATGCTCTACGCAAAAGAGGTGCCACCGGCAGGTGGCGATACACTTTTTGCAAACTGCGCCGCTGCCTATGAGGCTTTGTCTCCCGGTATGCGCGCAACACTGGCTGGTTTGCGTGCGGTACATTCGTCGCGTCACGTTTTTGGTGAAAGTTCATCTTACTCAAATGAAATGTCGGGACGACTGGGAAATGCTGAAGCAGCAACACAGGATGCGGTCCACCCGGTGGTGATCAAACATCCACTATCGGGTCGAAAAACGTTATACGTAAATCCTGCATTTACGCTGCACTTCGAAGGTTGGACGGCGGTTGAGTCCATGCCGCTTTTACAGCAGCTGTATAATCACATGATGCGCGCTGAGTTCACTTACCGTCTGCAGTGGGCGCCTGGCACCCTGGCTTTCTGGGATAATCGTGCAACCTGGCACTATGCGCTGAATGACTATCAGGGTGAGCGTCGGCTGATGCACAGAATTACCCTGGATGGCGGGCGAATTGCAGCTTAGCCCGATCAGTCGCGTAATTCTGGACGATTGTGATATTCGGCCAGGATTTCGGAGTTTGCCAGGGCGCTGGCATTGCCAATAGTCTCCCCCTGCAGGGTCTGACGGACAGCGAGTTCGGCTACTTTGCCGCTCAATGTACGCGGCACATCGGTTACAGAGAGTATCTTTGCCGGTACGTGGCGGGGGGACGCATGTTCGCGGATATGGCGTTTGATCGTTTCGCGAAACGCCTCAGTCAGTGTATGGCCCGGTGCCATGACAACAAATAAAACCACCCGGGTATCATCCTGCCACTGTTGACCGACACACACCGCGTCTGCGATTTCCGGCATGGCGTCCAGCAGGCTGTAGATCTCAGCGGTGCCGATCCTGACGCCACCGGGATTGAGGGTGGCATCGCTGCGACCATAGATGATGTAGCCGTCCTGGGCGGTATGGCTGGCATAGTCGCCGTGTACCCAGACGCCTGGGAAAACATCAAAATAAGCTTGTTTAAAACGAACCTGGTCCGGGTCGTTCCAGAAACCAATCGGGCAGGCTGGAAAAGACTGGGTACAAACCAATTCGCCTTTGCCCTCACTTAAAGCCTCACCAGTCTCATCCCAGACCTCGACGGCCATGCCCAGACCTGCGCATTGCAGTTCGCCGGCGTATACAGGCAGGTTCGGATTACCCAGCATAAAACAGGATACAATATCGGTGCCGCCAGACATGCTGGCTAAGTGACAGTCAGATTTGATGGCTGAATAAACGTAGTTGAAACCCTCTTCGGTGAGCGGTGATCCGGTGGATAGCACCGCGCGTAAACTCGACAGCTGATGAGATATGCGTGGCGTCACCTGCGCCTGTTGGGCAACGCTGAGAAATTTTGCGCTGATACCCAGGACGCTTATCCCTTCATTATCACAGAGGTTAAATAAGGTGGCCGGCGAGGGATGGGTGGGAGATCCGTCATACAAGACAATTGTGCAGCCTGTTGCCAGGGCCGAGATTGTCCAATTCCACATCATCCAGCCGCAGGTGGTGAAGAAGAACAGCGTATCGTCTGCCTTGAGATCAACGTGGAGTTGATGTTCTTTGATGTGCTGTAGCAGCGTGCCGCCCTGACTGTGCACAATACATTTTGGTTTGCCGGTTGTACCGCTGGAAAAGAGAATATAAAGCGGGTGATCAAAAGGCAGTTGCTGGAAGGTCAGTTCAGCCGCTGGACGTGCAAGCCAGTCGGACCACAGCACTTCGCCTGATTCAGGGCGCATCTGTGTGTTGAGGGTGTCGACCCAGATGACCTGTTTAATCGACGGCACCTGGGCGGCAACAGCGCGAACTTTCTTCCGTAAATCTATAGTTTTGCCGGCGTAGTAATACCCTGTTGCGGCAACCAGCACGCTCGGTTCGATCTGACTGAACCTGTCCAGAGCACCCTGCTCACCAAAGTCAGGTGAACAGGATGAGAAAATCGCGCCAAGGCTGGACGTTGCCAGCATCGACACAACAGCCTCAGTGGTATTGGGCAACCATGCGGCCACCCGCTGATTCAAGCCTATCCCAAGGTCGCGCAGCTGCTGTGCAACACAGGCAACCTGTTGATAAAGCTCTGCGTAACTTGTGGTGTAACGCTCGCCATTTTCCAGTAGAGATATCAACGCGGCTTTTGACCCGCGCTTGCGCAGCAGATTTTCCGCGAAGTTCATGCGGGCGCCTGGAAACCACTGTGCGCCTGGAAAACTGTCGATATTTTCTACGGTTCTGTCAGGTCTTGTGCTGCTCTTGATCTGCAGATAATCCCACAATGCTGCCCAGAACAATTCCGGCTGAGCCACGCTCCAGGTATGCAGGTCTTTGTAGTCCGCAAACTTATGGCCGTGGATTGATTCAACATAATGGGTGAAGGCAGTCATCGCCGAGTTGGCGATGACTGATTGAGAAGGTGACCACAGCGGTTCGGGCATCGGTTGTTATCCGGGCATCAGACGCTCTGAAAACAGGCGCGAACTTCTGCGACATAAACCTCAGGTTGTTCGAAGGCCGCAAAGTGACCGCCTTTATCTTTGACTGACCAATAGATGATGTCCGGATAAAGGTTCTGCGCAAATCTTTTGCTCGTACGGAAAATTTCCTTGGGGAAAATGGTAGCTCCGGTGGGTACTTTTACCTGTTGGCCAGCCAATGCACCGCCAAAACTCTCCCAATACAGGCGCGCACTGGATGCCGCTGCAGCGTTGACCCAGTACATCATCACGTTGTCTAACATGTCATCAAGGCTGATGACGTTCTGCGGGTCGCCATCGCAATCCGTCCACTGGTAGAATTTTTCGAGAATCCATGCGGCTTGTCCGGCGGGAGAATCAACCAATCCGTAGCCCAGTGTCTGTGGGCGTGTGCTTTGTTGTTTGGAATAACCTGAGTCCCAGTCCTGGTAGAACTTCAGCCCTGCCAGAGCAGATTTTTCTTCATCGGTCAGGTCGTCTGCGCTGGCATCTGGTGGTGACACAACCATGTTGAGATGAATCGCTTTACAGTGTTCCGGGTCTTCGATGCCAAGGGCCGAAGTGACAATGGCGCCCCAGTCTCCACCTTGAGCGAAATAACTGTCATAGCCGAGCTCACCCATCAGCTTTGCCCATGCTTTTGCAGTTTGCTGGGTGGTCCAGCCTGTTGCGTTGGGTTTGCCGGAAAAACCGAAACCCGGCAAAGAGGGAATAATGAGGTGATAAGCCTGCGCGCCCTCTGCGCCGTATTGATCCGGTTCGCTTAAAGGGCCTATGACGTTAAGGAATTCCACTACGGATCCAGGCCAGCCATGTGTCAGAAGCAGGGGCTTGGCATCCTCATGACTGGAGCGTATGTGCAGAAAGTGTATTGATAAGCCGTCGATGTCAGCCGTGAAGTTTGGCCAGGTGTTCAGACGGGCAGCGAGTCGCTGCATGTCATAGGTATGCAGCCAGTGATCGATGACTGATTTTGTATAGTTCAGGGGTATGCCCTGTGACCAGTCCTGGGTGGTTTCCGCCTCTGGCCAGCGGGTGTGCTGCAGGCGGCGTTGCAGATCTTCTACGCACGCTGCCGATATGGTGGGTGTAAAGGGTTTGATGTTCGACACGGCTGCCTCCGGTTGGTTAGTGATGGATATGTGTCACAAAGATGCGCACACATGTCCGCCGTCGACGGTGAGAATTGAGCCGGTCATATATTTGGATGCATCGCTGGCTAGCAGCAGAATAGGCCCGTCGAGATCGTCAAAATCACCAAAGCGTCGCATGGGTATGCCTTTCACAAATTCGCCGGCACCATCACTTTCAAGCAGCAGGCGACTGACGTCGGTGAGGATGTATCCCGGTGCCAGTGCATTAACGCGTATGTTGTACCGCGCCGCTTCCAGTGCCATGACCTCGGTCATTCTGGTCAGCCCGCCTTTGGAGACCGCGTAGGGAAATTGACCTTTGATGGTTCGAGTATCCGTGATCGAAGAGATCATGATGATGTTGCCGCTGCCCTGCTTGTGTGCAACAACCTGTTCCGTATAGATTTTGCTGGTCAGCCATGCGCTTTTAAGGTTCGTGTCGATGACAAAATCCCAGTCATCTTCATCGATCATGGCGTAGGTTTTTGCGCCGGCTTCGACCCCGGCATTGTTGATTAAAACGTCCAGGCGGCCATATTGATCAAAAGCATGGTTGATAAACGCACTGATGCTGTCTTTTTCGCGTACATCCAGCGCGCAGGCCTGGGCTTCGCCACCGGCTTTTTGTATTTCCGCAACCCGCGCTTCCAGTTTGTCCACGCGCCGAGCGCCTAAAACAACCTTGGCACCGGCCGCAGCCAGCACACCGGCAAAATGAGACCCAAACCCCGATGATGCGCCGGTAATCGCAACAACTTTGTCATGCAAATCGAATGGCTGATCCACGCCTAATCTCCCTGAACTGATCAGGTTTTATCCTATCACAGGCTGGATTGGACGCAGCTGTCGATGTCAGGAAACTGGGCCTTACCGGACGGGGGAAAGGTGCTACGCGGCTCGAGGAAGTAACGCGACGCGATTGCGTCCTTGTTTTTTGGCCATATACATGGCGTCATCAGCGGCTTTAAAAAGTGCCGGCATGTTGCGGCTGGTGAGCGTGTCCGCGATCCCGCAGCTCACCGAAAATTCGATAATGGCGCCGGGTTCGGTCAACGGGTTAGCAGAAATTCTTTCGACAACCCGGGTGGCCAGGATATTGGCCTGATCTGCATTCATGCCGCAGACCAGCACTGCAAACTCTTCACCACCAACGCGACACAGCAGATCCTTCTGTCGAAAGCTGCTGCGTAGAATATCGGCGATCGCCACCAGCGCTCTGTCACCCACGGCATGACCGTAAGAATCGTTGAGTTCCTTGAAATGGTCTGCATCAATGACCATAAGCGCAGCTGGTGCAGACTGAGTTTCCAGAATGGCGTGCGCCTGTCGAAAAAATGATCGTCGATTGGGTAATTTTGTCAGGTCATCGGTTTCCGCAAGTTGACGAAGTTCTGTCTGGGTTTCGGTTAACTTGAGGCTGGTACAGGCAACGTAGTAGGTCATCGGGCTGGCGATTAATATCGGCAGGATGGCGGCCATGATGATGACGTTCTGCAGGTGGAATGCCTCCAAGCCGGCCATCAGATATAAACACAGCACGCCGGTCAGCGCGCTGAAAACTGATATGAAAACGATACTGACCGTGCAGATCCAAACGTCTTTTTTTGTGCGTATACGCATCGCCTTACTGCGGCTGCATCCCTGCGCGTGATTTGTAACATGTTAGGAACATTGCCTTAATCAATGTGTGCGGCTCCGCACATATTCAAAACAGCTGCAACGTTCTATCATCCATAAACACAAAAGTCAGGCCAAACAGGAGATCAAACGAGATGACGCGACCCAGAAGATCGGTGTTGTACATGCCTGGCGCCAACACACGCGCTATGGAAAAGGCTAAATCTCTGGATTGTGACACCGTAGTTTTTGATCTGGAGGATGCTGTGGCGCCAGCGGCCAAAGCCCAGGCGCGACAGCAGGTTGCAGAAGTCGTGCGGCAAGGTGGCTATGGCTATCGGGAGATTATTGTCCGCTGTAATGGCCTGGATACAGAGTGGGGCATTCAGGACATCGCCGAACTGGCTGCGCTGAATATTGATGGGATGTTGTTCCCAAAGATTCAGAGTCTGTCCCAAGTTTCTGAAATCGTTGCAAAAATTGACCTTGCTGGAGCGCATAGTTTGCCGGTATGGGTAATGGTCGAAACCCCCCAGGGGGTTATGGATCTGGCTACATTTGCTGATCATCCACGGGTTGCAGCGCTGGTCATGGGTACCAGTGATCTGGTCAAAGAGCTGCGTGCGGTGCATCAACCCGCCAGAGCGAATATCGCTTTTGCGCTGCAATCTTCGCTGCTGGTGGCGCGGCGCTTCGGTAAAGAGATTTTTGATGGTGTACATCTCGACTTCAAAGACAGCGCCTCTTTTCGGCAGGCTTGCATCAGTGGCCGGGAAATGGGTTTTGACGGTAAGACGTTGATTCATCCGAGTCAGATTGATGTTGCCAATGAGATTTTTGGCTATTCGGAAGCGGATATCACCGAGGCTCATCGCGTGCTGGAGGTCTGGGACGCGGCATTGGCTGAAGGTAAAGGGGTTGCGGTGCTCGACGGTAAGCTGGTGGAGAATCTGCATGCTGAAGAGGCACGGCGAGTGGTTGCTTTTGCTCAGGCGATTGCAGCCCGGGTGGAATAACGCTATCTATTTTCAACCACGCTCATTAACCAAAGAGGGAGGCTCACTTGGCTTTTGCACAAACCCCCGACATTAAACTTTATTACGAGCGTGGTGGTGACGGGCCGCCATTGTTGTTCATCAGCGGCAGTGGGGCGGATTTGCGCAACAAACCCAACCAGTTCGATTCGCCGTTAGCCAGGTCATTTGAATTGATCAGCTACGACCAGCGCGGTCTGGGTCAGACCGAGCAGCCTGCGGGGGTGTATTCCATGGCGCAATATGCAGATGATGCAGCGGCTCTGCTGGATTATCTCAACGTGGACCAGGTGCCGGTGATGGGAGTTTCGTTTGGCGGGATGGTGGCTCAGGAATTTGTCTTACGGCATCCTGATCGCGTCAGCGCCCTGGTGCTTGCCTGTACCTCGTCTGGCGGTGCCGGTGGCGCTTCTTTCCCGTTGCACGAATTGCAGGATCTATCCGCTGAAGCCCGTGCCGCAGCACATTTGAAAGTTTCTGACCTGCGTCACACTGACAGCTGGATCAGCGACAATCCCGAAGCCTGGCAGAGGCGACTGGCCCTGACCATCGCAGCTCAGCAGAGCCGGACCAATGAAGCCGGTGCCCGCGCCCAACTCGAGGCGCGCCGCCTGCACGATACATTTGACCGTTTAAGCACTTTAGATCAGCCGGTTTTACTTGCCGGGGGGCGTTACGATGGCATTGCGCCGGTTTCAAATATGCAGGCGTTACATGCAGCAATTACTGGCAGTGAGCTTAAATTCTTTTCCGGGGGGCATATCTTCCTAATACAAGATCGAGAATCTTATCCTTATATAATTCAATGGCTTGAAGCTAATATATAAAATAAATATCTAATCGTAAGGGTTGTTTTCAGGTTCTTCGTCGACCAGCAGAGGGGTCGCTGGCGGCTGTTGCCGGTAGATGGCAGCGCCCAGACTGGGTCGGAAAAAGGCGTAGAAAGCCAAAAGGTGCGCAGTCACGACAAACCCCAATGCCCAGGCCACAGGCTGCCAGAAAGTAACGGAAGTCAGCAGTAGAAACCCCACCAGAATACAGAGGCTGGCTACCAGACGCAGTGCCGCACGTGCGGGGTTCGGCTCGTCGATAACGCAACAGATGTTGGCCAGCAACCAGACGCTGAACGGTAGTGCACCTACAAAAATTAGAACATTGATCATAAAAGGGTGATGCTCCCTGCAGTTGCATTGAGATGCAGTCTCTGGCCTGTTTGAATCAAGCGGGTGCAGTCTGCCACGTCAACGAGGCAGGGTACCTGCAGCTCCCTGGCGATGGTGCCTGCGTGGGACAGGAAGCTACCTGTCGCAACAATTACGCCAGCGGCTCTTGGAAACAAAGGTGTCCAGGCGGGGTCAGTGTAGGGTGCAATCAGAATTTCTCCCTCACACAAAGTGTGCGCCTCACTCAGGCTGGTGACGACTCGCGCCACACCTTCAATTTCTCCAGGGCTTGCACACTGTCCGCATAAACTGTCGTTGGAAGACACTGCTCTGTTGATGTTGAGCGTTTGAGGTGCGTTCAGGCGCGCTTGACGCTGCCAGTTACGCCGGCGTTTTCTGATCAGGGTATGCGCCTGTGTTGCGCTGAGGGTGTCCTCCTGCAGATCGGTTATTTCTGCTTCGGTTAAGAAAAAGATATCGCCTGCAACCCGCAACTTAGCCTCGCGAATCAGCTGATGCTCCAGCGTGAGCGCTTTCTGGCGAAGTGCATCGAAACCCATAATGTGAAAGTGCCGGGTGTTTTCCCGGAGTGCCATGAAATGGCAGATCCTGCTGGTCAGAAAGCTGGCGATCCGTCGCTGCCAGGGTTTCAGGTGTTGGTTCAGGGTGTCGCGTGCGGCCAGGTGGTTACCATGGATCCGGTCTACCCGAGCTTCGCGAGGTGGGTTGTTGTAGAGCAGTTTGAGCAGCTCAGTTGGCGTCTCCCGCCAGCTGGGAGAGGCCAGTTCCAACTCTTTTGGACCGCGGTGGCCAAAATCCTGCAGGAACTGTTCGAAGGCGAGCGCAAATTCGGTATCTGAAGGTAGTTCGCTGGCACTGCCGTTGATGATCTGCGCTACTCGAGCCGCGAGGTCGGCATCAGTTTCGATACTCCGATACAGCAAACCTGATAAATAGTCAGTTTGCCTCAGCAGTTCCATGGACTGCATATCACCGCGTCCGTGGAACGTCGTGCTCAATTGCTCCTGGGGATATTCGGGTGCGTAACGTTTGATAAACGCTTTTAACAGGCCGATGTAGAAAAAATATCGGCCCGCTGAGACATTGGTATAGAAGATGCGGTAGCCGATGGGTGCAAACGGCCAGTGTCCCCAGATCAACTGGCGTGCGGCCTGGTGCAGGGATAATTTTGGATTGTCCTGGACGGATCTGGCGAACCCGGCGTAGCGCGCGAGGGCGGCGTAAGATGCCCGCTGTGTGCGCAGCCAGTGGGCGCCGTCAAACAGGAAAGCCAACACAAATACCGGCAGTATCTGCAGCAGTTTCTGCCACGAAATATGCAGTCTATCCGGTAGTCCTCGCAGTAGAGCAGCTTCTACGAGTTCGTTTTCGCTCAACTCGAAGACGTTGATTTTCTGCAGCTTATCCAGGTTAAGGTACAGACGACCTTCGTAAAAAGCGCCGATTTTCGGCAAGACCCGGGCCACTAAATCTTCAGTCAGTGGGGTCATCGGCTCGGTGAAATTTTCTGCCAGCGGTTTGAATAAGACCAGCGGCTCGGTAAACGCATGGGTCTGAGCAAGCTTTGTGATGGGTCGACTTTGCAGCCAGAATAATTCATCGCCCACGTAGGCCCACTCTACATCCTGGGGACCATCAAACAGCGTTTCCAGTTGCGCTGCCGTATTTGCAATCTGGTTTGCTTCGAAAGTGCTCAGCACCGGCGCATTACGCAAATCCTGCCCCACTTCCTGCAGGCGGGTTGCGGCCTGATTTTCAGAACTTACGCTGACCCGCATGCGCTTGTCGCTTACGTGATAGCTATACAAGTCCTGATCTTCGTTAATGCGTACGTGATCCGGTGTGACGCGTCCATCCACCAGCGCGGCACCCAATCCCCAGGTGGCTTCGATGACGCAGTCAGTGCTGTCTGGAATAACCGGATCCGCGCTGAACACCACGCCCGAACGGGTTGCGGGTAACATTCTCTGGATGATGACAGCCATGCGCGGTGTTTCGCCGCTACTGACTTCTACCCAGCCATCGCGACGATACGCTAAGGCGGCACTGGACCACAAAGACATCCAGCAATCGAGAATCGCCTGATCAATACGATTGGGCGTGACAAAGTAGTAGGTCGAGTGTTGACCGGCAAAGCTGGCGTGCTGACCGTCTTCATCTGTTGCTGAACTGCGCACGGCCAGTTCACCGGCATCTGGCAGATAGCTGAGCAGGGCCTGCATCACGTTGTTCATCAACTCCGCCTGAAGTCGCGGTGGTGTGGGTTTGACCAGTGGGTCTGTGACCTCGCCAAAGTGACTGATAAATGCGTCGATGTCGATGACAAAGCCCTGCGGAACGTTAAAACCCGCGCGCATCATTGCACCCAGGTGGGCAGCTTTGGCGCCAACTCGATCAATGTCGGCAAGGGATAGTTCGCTTAGGGGGGCAATCCAGTTCAACGCTTCAGACGGCAGTTAAGAATGCGCGCATAGAGTAGCCAGTTAGTCGGGTAATTGCACGACCGACTGGTTGCTCGATGCGTGTTGATGTCAGCCGGCTGAAGAGGTGCCCAAATTGGTGTCGTCACTACCTTTGTACTTTCTCTTGATCATCGCTTTGATGCGATCGATAAGATGCCTGGCCTGGTGTGGCAGAGCGAGCATGGCGGGTGTCGCCACCAGGGTCAGCAGGGTAGAAAACGTCAGACCGGAAACAATGGCTTGAGACAAAGGTACCCAGAAAGAGGACAACATACCGCCGTAGACAACCGTACGGTTGACCAGATCAATGCTGAGGTTGCTGGCCAGCGGTAACAACCCAAAAACGGTTGTGATGGTGGTCAGCATCACCGGACGCAGACGTTGAGCGCCCGTGCGGACAATCAGTTGGGAGTAGTCGAGCCCGGGGTGTTCTTTGCGCAGATGGTTGTAGGTATCAATAAGGACAATATTGTTATTGACCACGATACCGGCCAGGGCAACAACACCGACACCGGTGAGAATGGCGCTGAAGGGGCTGCCGGTTATCAACAGGCCAAGCAATACGCCAGCGGTAGACAACACGACCGCAAACAGAATCAGGAATGCCTGATAGAAGCTGTTGAACTGCGTGACCAGAAGAACGAACATCAGTAACAGCGATAACATGAAGGCAACGCCTACAAATGCCATTGATTCGGCCTGTTCTTCGTTGGCGCCACGAAACTCAATTTTCAGGTCAGGATGCCAGGTCTGAGTATCCAGCCAGGCCTGAAGCTCTTTCACCTTATCATCCGCAAGTACACCGGGTGCAACGTTTGCTCGAATCTGCTCGACGGGGACGCCATTGATGCGCTGAATGGTATCGACGTTAGGCGTTGCCTGCTTTGTGACGAAGTTGGACACGGGCACAAGACCGCTGGGTGTCGCAATTTTCAGTTCGTTTAACGCGTTAATGCCGCGTGCATCGCTAGGGTAGCGCACGCGGATATCTACGGCGTCGTCTGATCTGTCAGGGCGATATTCACCAACCTTCACGCCATTGGTTATCAGCTGCACGGCTATCCCGACCTGACTGACGTCAGCACCAAAAATTGCAGCTTGAGCGCGATCAACGGTGAGTTTCCATTCGACGCCCGGTAGTGACCTGGAATCGTCGATATCGCGAATCCCAGTCATGGAATTTTCCATGTAATCGACAATTTTTGTGACGGCAGGTTCTAACAGATCTTTGTTGTGGGAGGAAAATTCCAGCAACAGGGGTTTACCAACAGGTGGTCCCTGTTCCATTTTTTCGATTTCGACGCTGATGCCTGCATAATCTTTTGTGCGTTCGCGGATAATTTCGAAAATTTCCGTGCCGGTGACATCTCGCTGATTCTCATCCAGCAGTTCCAGGAACATTCTACCAATGCGGTCCATGCCGCCATCGCGGCCAGGCTGGCCGGTTAACATGGTTGTCGAATTGAGGCTCTGGATGCCTTCAACTTCGAGAATTTCAGCTTCGACTTCTCTGAGCAGTTCGTTGGTCTCATCGACGCTCAGGTTGCCCCTTGCCCGCACTGAAACGTTGGCATATTTCGGTTCTGAGTCAGAGAAGAAGGTAAACCCGCGACCGTATTCACCGTATGCCCAGAACGTTGTAAACAGGACGCCGATGGTGATCGCCATGGTGACAAGAGCGTACCTTGAAGCATAGCCAAGCACCCGTGCATACATGCCAGTGAGCGAGCGCAATGTTCTGGGATCACCTTCCTCAAGCTGTTTCAGGGTTTCCATGGATTTCTCATCACGGCTACCGGCTTTGCCGAACAAAGAGCCCAACACCGGACCAAAAACCAGCGCATATAGCAGCGACCCGCTCAGGACCGTGAACACGGTAACTGGCAGGTAGCGCATGAACTTGCCTGAAACACCGGGCCAGAACATCAAAGGTAAAAACGCTGCCAGCGTGGTGGCGATGGATGCGGTGACCGGCCAGAACATGCGTTTGGCTGCCAGCGCGTAGGCGCCGCGACGATCGTAGCCTTCGGTCATTTTACGGTCAGCGTACTCGGTGACAACGATGGCTCCGTCAATCAGCATGCCCAGACCTAACAACATGCCAAACATGACCATGAAGTTGAAGGTATAACCTAACTGATAGATGAAGATCAGAGAGAATAGGAATGACACGGGAATACCCAGGCCCACGATGAGACCACTGCGGAATCCCATCGCGGCAACGATGATGATCATGACCAGGCCCAGGGCGGTGAAGATGTTGCCCTGCAGTTCTGTGACCTGACCCTGGGCAAACGGTGCCTGATCGGTGGTGTAAAAAATATCCACTCTGCCAGGCAGGTTCTGTTTGAAGTCTTCAACGACAACTTTGGCTGCTGCAATGGTGCTCAGAATATTGGCATCGGCGCGTTTGACCACCTGCAGAGAGATGGTGGGTTTGCCGTTAACCCGGGCGTAGTTTGTGCGATCTTTGAATGTTCTGCGAACTGTTGCCACGTCACTCAAAGTGACGACGGTGTCGCCATCTGTGCGCACCGGCAGATCAAAAATGTCTGAGGCTTCTTCGATAATGCTGGGCACTTTGACAGAAAAACGGCCCTCGCCTGTATCCAGGCTGCCGGCTGGTATCAGACGATTGTTGCGCACTATGGTGTTGATCAACTCCTCAGAGGATATTGAATACGCCTCAAGCTGATTGGGGTCAATGATCGCTTCCAGCAGTTCTTCCCGGTTACCGAACATGTCGGCGGATAGGACGTCTGGCAGGGCTTCGATTTCTTCACGCAGATCTATGGCAACGTTGTACAACATGCGTTCGGGTACATCCCCGACGATATTGATCTGCAGGATGGGAAAGTCGTCGACGCTGGCCTCGGTAACAATGGGCTCTTCTGCTGTGCTCGGCATTTCCGCTTTGGCACGATCAACGGCCTCACGCGTATCCATCAATGCTTTGTCGAGGTTGTGGTCTGCGTCGAATTCAACCATCAGCGTACCAGCACCTTCGGAAGCAAACGCTGTCATTTCTTCGACGCCTTCGACGTCGCGCATCTCAATTTCCAACGGCATGACCAGCAGGCGTTCAGCATCTTCTGGCGAGATACCTTCATGTACCACGGTGATGACAAAAAACGGGACGTCGATATCGGGGTCGTTAGCGACTGGGATAACGGCTCTGGAAATCAAGCCGGCAATGATCACCATGGTCATGACGAGCATGGTTGTGCGTGATCGGGCGATGGCAGCGTCAATCAACGAAAACATTGTCGATCCTCGGTTTAAATCGGTTGGGCGTTAGCAGAGGACAGTGTGGTGCGCGGCGAGACTAATTTGGCCTCTGCGGGTTCGGGCAGTGTCTCTGCTTTGAGCGAGCCATTGTTTTGAAATACCGGGTCAACGCGTTCACCAGCAGTGACCAGTTCCTGACCGACAGTAATAACACCGGCGCGGTTAGGCAGGCCGTGGACCCAGATGCCATCGCTGGCATCAGCCAGAATGTCAATATGGTGGAACTCAACAACATTGTTTTCGTTAACGGTTCGAATGCCGATTTCGCCAGCGTCATCCAGGCTGATCAGCGCCGGGCTGATTTTCTGTGCAAGAACCGTTTCCACCGGGATGTGAATTTCAGTGGTGATTCCAGAGCGAAGTGACCGGTCCGGGTTGGCAAGTTCGATTTCAACGGCATAGGTCCGGGTTGTTGGGTCTGTGAGCTGGCCGATAAATGTAACCGGTCCGGTGACTGAGGCGCCGTTGCGTAAATAGCCAGTCGCCAACTGGCCAATACTCAGGTTTATCACGTCCCGTTCTGATACCCGGCCCACCAGTAACATCGGATCCATGTCAACAACAGTGGCGCAGTTGGCGCCGGGGCTGACGTAATCGCCAATTTCCTGGTGCACATCTTCAACGATGCCGCCGAAAGGTGCACGCACGGCTATCTTCTGTAAATCAAGGGTGCGGCGGCTGATGTTGGCTTCAGCTGCGGCCAGGCGGGCTTTAGCGCCTGCGATAGCTGTATCTGAGTTATAGCCTTTTTCCTTCAGGCTCAGTGCGCCACTGTATTCAATTTGTGCCTGGGCAAGTGCCGCCTGGGCTTCAGACAGAGAGGCCTGCCGATCTTCCACCGACAGCTGGCACAGGAGGTCGCCTTTAGCGACCAGGCTGCCCCGATCTACAGGGCGGGTAACAATGGTGCCCGCAAGTTCAACTTTTACATCAACGGTGCGTTTGTTTTCGGTCTTGCCACGAACTTTTATCAGTCGTTGTTGGGGTGTCGCCTGCAGAACAGAGACTCTGACCTTGGTGGGCGCTGCTTCTTCTTCAACACGACTCTGCTCGCGATTCTGCTCTGCCAGCGAGGCCGGATTGGGTGTGTCTTTGCTACCCAGAACGCCACTGGCGAGCCAGGCTGCAAGCAGTAGGGCGATAATTGTGGCGGTGATGTATGTTGTGCGCATTGCGCGGGCCTCTTGGTGGTGCAATTGGCGTGATTGTCAGAAGCCAGCCGTTGGCTATCTGTCGATATCTATGCCGTTAAATGCTACCAAAGGTAACACATTGCAAGTTGTCGGACAAAATGCTTTTTTTACTCTTTACAAGCAGAGTATCTCGCAGTTGATATCAAGTTTAGGTGAAGGTGAGATGAAATTGATGTGAGGGCGATCAAATTGTTTTTAGAGTCGGTTAGTGGCTATCCACTAACCTGTTTGATGCGCAAAAGCGCTCTGGAGAGCCAGAACCTGCGCTTCGCTGCAGGTTCTGGTTAAAAGGATGGCGAATCAGGCTGCCGCGCTGGGTCTTGCTGCCATGCGATCGTACCAGGCTTTGATATGGCTGAGATTCTGGTCAAAAGGCTGCCCCACAGCATTACCGAATGTCAGCATGCAGTACAGCAGCACGTCTGCCAGGGAAACCTTTTCGCCGCCAATAAAGCTGCGGCCATCTGTCATCAAGCCGTCCAGCCAGGCGGTTTTTTCGCGGGCAATCTGCTTCAGGCTATCTGCTGCAGCGGGAATGGTGATCATTCTTTCCTGAAAAATAGGCATGCCTTCTGAGTAGCGGAAGCCGTTTGCCAGGGGTTCACAGATATTCAGATCTACTCGGCGAGTCCACATGCGTGTTGCTGCGCGCTCCTCGGCGGTTTCGCCCATCAGAGAGGGTCCATCTGACACTTCATCGAGGTATTCACAGATCGCAGTGATTTCTGCAATCAGGGTGCCGTCATCAAGTTGCAGGCAGGGGAGTTGTCCCGCAGGGTTGATTTTCAGGAATTCAGGTTGTCGATTTGCACCTGCCATCAGATCGATATCTTCGAGTTCAAGTTCAGCCCCAACCTCGGCTGCGTACATACGCACAACGTGTGGGTTTGGCCCCATGGAGTTATAAAGTTTCATTGTTTCCCCTGTCTTTTTTAGTTTGTTACGGTTTGGTGTTACCACTGACCGATGTTTTCCAGACTTTTCCACGGTTCAGCTGGCGCCAGGGCTTCACCCTTTTGCAGCAACTCAACCGAAACGCCGTCTGGCGAGCGTACAAATGCCATGTGCCCATCGCGCGGTGGCCGATTGATGATGACACCATGATCTGCCAGACGTTGGCAGGTGGCGTAAATATCATCAACTGCGTAGGCAAGGTGGCCAAAGTTACGACCGCCGGATAATGTTTCCGGATCCCAGTTGTAGGTTAATTCTACCTGGGCTGAGCTGTCGCCGGGTGCCGCCAGAAAGACCAGGGTAAAACGGCCCTGCTCACTGTCGTAGCGGCGCAGTTCTTCCAGGCCCAGGGCATTGCAGTAAAAATTCAGCGAGGCGTCAATGTCGGTAACGCGCACCATTGTGTGGAGATACTTCATAGCGGAGTCCGAGTCATATCGTAAGGTCAATTTTAGCGGTCAGTTTAGCCTTGTCTGGCGTGCTTGGACAAATAAGCCCGGGAGAAAAGTCAGAGAGAATGTTACGCGCAAAAAAAACCCTGCATTTGCAGGGTTCGCGATAGATCATCACAAGAGACTCGTTAAATGAGTCCGGGTCTTTGGAGAGAAACAATCAGTAACGGTTTATAAAACAGATACGGCCAGAATGCTGACCACCAGTGTGCACAGCGCAGCAAGAATAAGCGCGCTTTCGCTGCCGCTCAGTATCTCGTCACGCTCAGAGATTGCGATGGCTTGTGTAGTTAACTGATTCTGATTGTAGTCTTGCGGTGCCATTACTGCCGTATCCGTATTTCCGATAGGTTGTAAGATACGTCTTAATGCTGAAGGGCGATTGCAGTATTAATGGAAGTAAAATGGAAAAAATCCACGAGTCAGAGACACTTCCATGTGCTGGGTCGCATCGTCACAATAGCTTCAGCTTTTCTGTAACGCGCTTTGGGCGTACAAGATAGTCATTTGGCTAAGGTGTGGGTGTGATGTTCAGGTATTTGAACTGTTTAGGTGGTGTTTTCCTGATTGGCCTGCTCGGTCTTTCGGGCTGTGTTGTCAACCCGGTGACCGGACAGCGTGAAATAGCACTTGTGAGTGCTCAGCAGGAAGTCTCTATTGGCCAGGAGCAATATGTTCCGTCTCAGCAGATGCAGGGCGGCGCTTATCGAACGGACCCAGGCTTATCTGCATACGTCAATGGTGTGGGGCAGAAACTCGCTATGGCCAGCGGTGTTGATCTGCCTTATGAGTTTGTGGTTCTGAATAATTCGGTACCCAACGCCTGGGCGTTGCCAGGTGGCAAAATTGCAGTGAATCGCGGCCTGTTAACAGAGCTGCGTAATGAAGCCGAATTAGCTGCAGTGTTAGGGCATGAAGTGGCACATGCCGCGGCTCGTCATGGTGCCAAACGTGTAGAGCGAAGCATGCTTTCTCAAGGCGTTATGCTGGCAGCAGTGATTGGCGCAAGCGGCTCTGAATATTCCCAGGAAGTTTTAGGTAGCGCCGCGATCGCGACGCAGCTGTTTAATCAGAAATATTCCCGTGATGCTGAGCGTGAGGCCGACTTTTATGGCACTCAGTTTATGGCCAAGGCGGGTTATGACCCCTATGGGGCTGTGACCCTGCAGGAGACATTTGTGCGATTGGCCGGGGCAGGTGAGCCTGATTGGGTGAAGGGATTGTTCGCTTCCCATCCGGCGTCCCAGGAGCGCTTGACCAATAATCGCGGGTTATTGAAGCGTCTGCGTTCGGAAGGGTTCACCGGTGGTATTTTGGGCCAGCCGGAGTACGCGCGTGCGATGCAGACGCTGGTGAGTGCCAAACCAGCCTACCAGGCCTATGACGAAGCCAGAGAGCTCTATGCGGAGGGTCGCTATGACGCGGCGCTGGCGAAGGTGAATCAATCTCTATCGTTACTGGATAACGAAGCGCTGTTCCATGGTTTACGCGGAAGTATTCGCTATCGACAAAATCGGTATGAGGATGCGATTACCAATTTTGATCGAGCGCTAGCGCGGGACGACAGCTATTTTCTGTATTACCTCAGTCGCGGTCTGTCTTACGCGGAGTTGGGGCAGCGGGATACTGCACGGCGCGATCTGTCTGCATCGGTTCGTTTGTTACCTACAGCACCTGCTTACCAGGCATTGGGAAAACTGGCTGAAGCAGATGGCGATGTTGAGCGCGCCAAACAATATTATGCCCAGGCGGGGCAGAGTAATGGACAGGAAGGCCAGGCGGCACGCGCGAGTCTGGTAAGACTGGAGCTTCCTTCTCAGCCTGCGAAATATATAGCGGCGCGAGTCAGCCGAGATGATCGTGGTCGGCTGGTGTTACAGGTCAGCAACGGGGCCAGTCTGGCGTTGGCGGATATCGTCATTCAGGTTGAATTGATGACCGCGGAAGGGGTGCGTAGTACGACCAGTCGGTTGGAAAAACTGGGTCCGGGAGAAACGCGTTTATCGCTGCTCAATGTAGACCCTGAGAAGATCCAGAGTGTGAATGCGTATCCGGTATCAGCGCGATTAAGCGACTAGTGGCTCAGGATGTAATCCCAGGTTGTTTACGTTGCGCTGCCCTGCAGCCCATTGTCTGGCCGCTGCTCTGACAGGATGCCCAGATGTTGCCGCTGCTGTCTTTGTGAAATGGAATATCCATTTTTTCCAGATAATTCTGCAGCTGGTCAAAGCGAACATCAAAATAGGCAGCCAGGTCTTCATTACCCAGGACGGTGAACTGGCTCTGTCTGCGCACTCTTCGGCGGTGTAAAGGTCTAAGTAGCTTCATACTGTAAATTTATACAGTAGTTTTGTTTTGCTGCCAAGCGATTTTTCTAAACCCGCTTATAAAATCAACCTAGGCCTATCGCTGGATCCATCCGCCGGAGAAAGGTATGGCCTGACCAACAAAAAAATCACTGTCATTTGATGCCAGAAACAAAGCAAACCGTGCGTCTTCCTCGGCAGTGGCGAGCCTGCCCAGTGGCACCTGTCGTTTCAGGGAGGCCTGAAATTTGGGTTGTTCGCGTAACTGTGAAGGGTAATAAACCGGATTCTCGACGTAGTTCTGCGCAATCAGGTTCACCTGAATATTGTGTGGCGCGACTTCAACCCCCAGCGATTGCACATAACCCACCTGGGCCGCTCTCGCCGCAGAATAAGCGCTGACGGTTTTCATCCCTCTTAATGCAGTTGCGCTGCCGTACACCACTATTTTGCCTGCATTACGGGCAATCATCTGTGGTAGAACCGCTCGACTCAGCCGATGTAAGGGGTGAACCATTTTGTCAAAGGTGTCATGCCAGGCTTCATCTTCCAGATCTGTTGCGTGGATACCTGAATAGTTGGCTGAGGCCAGATTAGCAATGAGAATATCGATATCACCATTGTCGTAGATGAGTTGCTCACATGCGCCTGCCACGGTTAGATCATCGTTACTGGCGATGACCTCAGCGCCTGCCTGGGTGAATACCTCTACTGTGGCCGGGCCCATGTAATCATTGGCCTGGGTGACGAGGACGCGCTTACCGCTCAGATTCTGACTCATGTTGCTTATCCTTTTATCTTTCCAGCAGAAGGTTATTCAAAACAGAGAATACGCCACCTGCCAATATGCGCAAAGTGACCTAATCCCGGGCTCTGTCAGGTCTCTGACTTTGTCAGGAGACATTTTTTACCAAGTCTAATTGTATGATCTGGTAGTTTTAGCACCGCGACAGCAAATCAATACTTTGCGGTAAAAGCAGGAGAGTTTATGAACAGCCATGAAGTGGACTATGAGATTTTTGGTAACGATATGCAGATTGTTGAGGTCGAGCTCGATCCCGGAGAAACCGTTATTGCTGAGGCAGGTGCCATGAACTACATGGAAGACGGCATTAACTTTGAAACCAAGATGGGCGATGGGTCGACGCCATCCGGTGGGATGCTGGGTTCCATATTAAACGCAGGTAAGCGCATGCTGACTGGCGAATCGATTTTCATGACTCATTTTTCCAACGCCGCCAGCGGTAAGAAAAGAGTTGCATTTGCTGCGCCTTACCCCGGCAAAATCATTCCCATAGATCTTGCCCTTGCGGGCGGTGAGCTGCTTTGTCAGAAAGACGCATTTTTATGCGCAGCATTTGGTACTAACCTCGACATTGCCTTTAATCGACGCCTTGGCGCCGGTTTTTTTGGCGGCGAGGGTTTCATCCTGCAACGCTTATCTGGTGACGGTAAAGCTTTTGTGCATATTGGTGGCACGGTCATCAAGCGCGAGTTGAACAATGAGGTGTTGCGCGTAGATACCGGCTGTATTGCGGCGTTTACCCCGGGCATTGATTACGATATTGAGCGGGCCGGTGGATTAAAGTCGATGGTGTTTGGTGGTGAAGGATTGTTTCTCGCCACCCTGCGTGGCACCGGTACCGTTTATCTCCAGTCGCTGCCCTTTTCGCGTCTGGCAGAGCGCGTGATGCGTGCTGCACGACCTGGGGGGTCTAAAGGTGAAGGATCGGCGCTTGGTCCATTGGGAGATATGTTTGGCGATAAATAACCGTTGGGCGCGATCTAATCACCGGACGCAATCCGGTATGTGGAGGTAAGGTGAATTATTTCCCGGTCGCAAAGATCAGTCAGGTGCCTGAGGGTGAGGCTGTGCTTATCAGTGTGAACGGTAAAGCTGTGTTGCTGTGTCAGGTAGATGGCCAGTTTTTTGCGGTCAGCGCCATCTGCCCGCACGCTGGGCAGAAGTTATACGGTGGGCGTTTACAGGGGTTTGAAGTGGTTTGTCCGCTGCATCGGGCGCGCTTTGATGTGCGTGATGGCACTTGTACGGCAGCACCGGCAACAGAGTCTTTAGAGCGCTATCCGGTAATGCTTGAAGCAGGCAAGGTGTCAATCGGCATGTCCTAGTGGCAAGGCTTTACGTATACTAGCGGGCTTTTCCGGAATAAGACGATTGCCATGACTGACAGTGGAGTAACTTATCAGAGAGTCCAGCGCGGCACGCTGCAGGTAGCTGCAGATCTTGATGCGCTGATCAAAAACGAAATTCTGCCTGGTACCGACGTTGACCTTGATGTTTTCTGGGCTGGCTTTGAAAGCTGCTTAAATGAACTTGGTCCGGTCAACAAGGCTTTGCTGGCCAAACGCGATCAGCTGCAGGCGCAAATTGATGAATATCATCTGGCACGTAAAGGCCAGGCGCTGGATGCGCAGGCGTACAAAGCGTTTCTTGCAGAGATTGGTTATCTGTTACCCAGTCCTGCGGATTTCAAAATCACCACACAGAATGTCGATGAGGAAATAGCGGGCACAGCGGGTCCACAACTGGTGGTGCCGGTGATGAACGCACGGTTTGCATTGAACGCGGCAAATGCACGCTGGGGCAGTTTGTACGATGCGTACTATGGCACCGATGTCATTCCCGAGACCCCTGGGCGG